TTTCTGTGTGTGGGTGCGTGCGTGCGTGCGTGCGTGCGTGCGTGCGTGCGTGCGTGCGTGCGTGCGCGCGCGTGCGTGCGTGCGTGCGTGCGTGCGTGCGTGCGTGCGTGCGGGCGGGCGCGTGCGCGCGTGCGTGCGTGCGTGCGTGAGTGCGTGCGTGCGTGCGTGGTGTGTGGGTGTCTGTGTCTTTCGTGTCTCTCTGTGTCTTGTGTGTCTTCTGTGTCTCTTTGCGTCTCCTTTCTGTCTCTCTCTGCGTCTCTCTCTGACTGCGTGTGCGCGCGTATGTGCGTTTCTTGCTCTTGGACCAGGGTGACCCGGACCTCCGTCCTTGGCATTCTTTTCATGGAGCCTTAGGCAGTAAGCAAGTGTCACCATGGTGGGTCGCCAATTGTGCGGTGGTGACACTTGGTGTTAGACATGTTTAGTTTGATGCAAGCACTCAGCGCTGTACTAGAACAAGGCATGCAAACGCTGCTTTCATGCTTGCAGGCCGCACAGCAGCGCGCCGTGCGAGAGGCAATTGCTTCAAGGATGCAGCGCAAGTCGCATGAGTATCGTTTCCTGTCCTCTATGTTCATTAGCAATGAGAGAGCCCATGCAAAACCAGCGGTCCACGCCAAAGGACTGACGTCTTCTTGCAAAGGTAGATTATTTCGCGGGGCTTGCATGGCATTTGCAAGATGGTATATGTGCATCGCCCTCGATCCAGAGGTGCACTCCAGTCCTGGGCTCGGCTAAGCGCCACGTCCGAGTGACGGCGCAAGCGCTCAGTCGGCTGAGGCTCCAGCAAGACCCAGAAACCAGACGATCGAAGCGCCGCCAGCAATGCCCTTAAGACTCAAGACCACGCGAATGAAACACTGGTGGTGGGAGTATACTTGACCCAAATCTTTGGATCGCTTACGTAGTTTTGGAACACACACGTGCACTCAAAAACTTGGCATTTGGCTAAACAAGTTCCGGCTTCACACTCCGTCCCTCATTTTTTCGAATAAGCCTTAGGCATTGGAATTCGGTCTGGTGTGGCTTCTTTAAGAAGCATGGCTAGCTGCTCATTTCAGGTGCTGGTGGCGACCGGCTTCGCACTCGCATCCTGGAGGCAGGCCCAAGCTTTGGTGCCAGCCTCACCTTCTTGGCATGCATTCTAGTCGAGGCCTTGCGCCAGCAAGCCGGACAAGGACTCTTCGAGCAAGGGGTTCACAAATTGACAAGAAACAGCTTGCGCCTAATGGCATGATATGCAAAACTTGTCGCAGGCTTTTGAAGGTCATTCACCGATTGTCCGTGTCTCCTGCATCCACATGGTCTGAAGGAGACAGATTTGCTAGCAGCCAAAGTGGCCAGCCACCAAGACAATTGGACAAGTAAATTCAGCAATGCTGAGTAAAGAATGGCTCCACCCATTGGTTATCAGCCTTGCCTCAATATCCAATATCTTGTCACCGTGCCACTAGAGCTGCAGACAATGTGCTGGGCAGCATTGCGTTCTGAGCACCCGTGCAGCTCATTTGAGAAATCTGAAGTTGGGCCAATTGCGGGCGCCAACCATACCTAAGGAAAGCCATAGTTGTGGGATGGTCGATTCAATACCGCTGAATTCGTTGTGCTTTACGACCTCAAAAAAGTATCCGCCGACTTCATGAGTTTGTAACGAGCAGCGCGCGTGTTTTACAAACAGTTGCAAGAGGAAGAGTGCCGCATCACCTGAAGATGAACGTCATTGACAACCAGAGACGTGCTTGCCTAGCTCAGCAGCTTTCTCGCCAGAGTTCAGCAGGTTTGCAACAACCACAGTAGAACAGCACAGAAACACAGCGTAGCACCATTCCATCCGCACTTTCTCATGAGTTGGTGCAGTATGTAGAGTTGGCGAGAAGCTCGACAATGCGCGCTTTCAGTGCCACGGTGGCTCGTAAGTTGCACTAAGCTCGGCGTCGAGCTATTTATCGAGCGCGCAGCGTTTGTGGCTCGACTGCAAGCAGCAGAGCTGGTCAAGTGGCGACTCAGGAATGGACAGGTTCTGGCGTCGTTGGACCAATTGATGTCATGGGCCGAAGTTGTGCAGGAATCTTCGAGGCAAGGGCAAGGCGATGCATAGGACCAGGAGTGAGTCATAGAGCCAAGAGTCAGTGGCACCGCGTGCGCAGAAGTTGCGCAGAAGTCACGACAACCAAAGCAGAGCTGCGGTGACCAACGCGCGCGGCAGTCTTGATCGACTGCTTTGGCGTGGGGGTTTGGCTGGGCCTGTGGCTGGGTTAGTTGGCAACTGGACTGGCCTGGACTGAACGAGCTTTGCTCTTGCTTGGATGGTTGGTTGGGTGTTGCTGGTTGGGCTGAGGCTAGTCTGAGACTCGTCAGACAGGCCTTGTGGATTCAGGCTCCAACCCTGTGCATGAATGTGCTTGTACATGCTCTGCCCGCTACAGACTTCAAGATCACTGACAGCAGTGTGCAAAGGTAGTCAACGGTTTGCTGCTTGCCTAGGTATTCCCTTAGGTGGCCTAGGCTTGACAACACAGGTTATCAGCCGTAAAGGCTTGTACAAAGATCGCCATGGCATCCGGAGATATGCCTGCCATATAGAATATATCTGGAGATGTTGGTGACGGTGGTGAAGATGCAGTTGCATCCAATGGTCCTGTTGACCCTCGCGATCCTCGAAACATGTTTGGATTCGCGACAAACTACCAAGCCAGCCAGAACATTATGCATGTACATAACGACACGGGTGACGCTGTCGGAAGAGGCCAACACGTTACATCGCGTTGCTATGGATGCTGCAAGGGCGGAATATAGCGCTCATTTGGCAGAAGCTGTGCATCGCCTGGATGAGGAGAACAACCGCCGGACTCTTGAGCTGCATGAACAGATCGGCAGAGTCCCGTGCTTTCTTCAGCGCCCAGGTTAGTCAGATGCGGGGAGCAATTTCTGCCGAAGTGAATCAAGCTGTGTTGCAGAGAACGGCAC